TCCATTTAGTTCCCCCTCAAACCGCTTGTTTGGACCCCTCACTCCCATCTTTTCCAGAAATCTGGGGCCCCCGGGCCAACCGGTACTTGATCAGCTCGGAATCCGTGAGCTGCACCTTGCGAAGAGAAGCCAGCAGCATCTCCAAATCATAATGACAAGGAGCAGCAAGAGGATGTCTGCCTCTTTTTGTATATATTTATATATTGGGCGCTTTCAAAAGGCTTTGGAGGAACTCCATCCGCATTCAAGTGGAAAGCGGCAGGTTAGGGGGCGAAATGACTCTTGACACAGAAACAACTGGTCCAGCAGCATTTCAATCGTGTCGAGATACACGGCATACGTCATTCCAAAATGGGCTTCACGGTTCGACCAGAAACCCTACCAAACTCTTCCGCCTTGCTCGTTTGCTAGTGGGGGGCCGCGGTGCTCTGAGCTACCCACACGCTCGGTAATCCAAGCTTCAAAAATCCGCAGGTGCCCGTCGCAGTAGGCCGCCGGCGACTGGATTGCGGGCGACCGTGTGCGGGCAAGTAACCACAAAACTGATTTTTCTTTTATGGACTGGAAGCCTTTTCAATATATAAATATATATATTATATATGGACTGTATGGACGTATGTGTACCATATGCGTGCGTGTATGTATATTTCTAGTACAATTTCTATGTATCCTGTTTGTGTCTCTTCGAGAGATCGCCGAAACAGCACCAATGACGAAACCGCTTGTGCTTCTTATGTTGGATTCCTCCGATTCTTTTGAAGTCTGGAAGGCGCATACCGGGTTGAACAGTCGAAAGTCCTTCTCCCATTTCTTTCACTCAAGTTCAGTCTTCCAACTAGTAACTAGAATCCTCGGTTAACCAATAGTAGAGTGCTTTCAAACACTCACGATACTCCCCTTGTGGCCTCCCCAACCACCCAAATCATCTGGTGATTGCACCTTGGCCTTGGCTAACATCCGCAAGAAGTCCCGAAGCTCCAGCGCTTGGCCGCGCCTCACGGCTCCAGGCTCCCCGTCCGGGGCTCGGTCGACCGGGTAGCGAACGGTCGCCGAGACTGGTCGGATGGCCACACTCAGAGGTCAAGTGTCTCGCACCCCCCATTCATGCAATAAAGTATTCCAAGAATTTCTATGAGATCGTCCATATTTGACCAGCTTCGCTTCGACTAGTGGAGTTGCCACAGAAGAACGTTAGAACAACTATATATACAAAGCGATACATCTAATGTAGACCCTTAGGTTACAATAACCCCCCTTTGAAGAGGGTTATCAATTCAAGTAGTCGACATTAAATGCCTCGACTGGACTGCATAGCGAGGTCTGTGGCATTGGCTACTCTGGACTGGAAAACGCACGATGACCCCCGCACTCAGAGGGCACGGCGATAGCAACCGTCTCACCGCCATCTGCACTTGTGGCACTTTGATCTTCTGCAGCCTCAGGGCTTGGTTTTCGAGTATTCGAATATTCGCGTGTCAGTTTCTGCACTCCGACAAGCATACCACCAGAAGTGGACGGCATGGCCCCTGGGAAGACCGCCCTTGTGCCTCACAAACCAGCTTCTTTAACTTGTGTTAGTAGTGTGTAGGAGTGTATGTTAGATGTGTATGGGCCTTGATCCCAATACTCCCCCTGCAACTGATTAACACAACTGCCAGCTTGGATATCCCTTCCCATCCGGTGTTCCTGTGACCCCCAAAAAATGGTTGTGTGAATAGCATGGAAGCAGAATTGTCGAAATCCATTTTCCAAATCATGGCATGATACAGCCACATGGTCTGTTTTGTCTGATATTCACACGGGTGCCCACGGGATCCCCAGCGAGCGGATCGCTGAGGTGTCGTAGCTGCATTTGGAGCGCGGCAAGCGCTCCTCCCGTTCACAGGCACTGTCCAAAATCCAGTCTACAAGAACCAAAGGCCTGGAACTAACTAAAAATAGGCAGACCCAGTCTCCCAAGCCACGTGCCAGAAACAACAAGAAAACACAGGCTGCAGCTTGTCAAAAAGAGAGTTCCTGGTGTCAGTGACCAACCAGCTGCGGCATGGCGAGATCGGAAGGAAACCCCAAAGAGCCAGAACCCAAGCAGCTCCTGCTCGGCTCGGATGGCTTTGAAAGTCTCAAAAGCTTCGAGAACCTGAGGCAAACCCCCAAGAACGACACGGAGCCAGTGCACAGCAATTCGCGCCATGTTTATCCAACTCAATTGCAGGAACTTGCACGTGACCCTCTGCAAGGCCCCATTCTGCTTTCGCTCAAACCTGCGAAGACCATAGACTCTGCCATAGACCGTCTACCGCTGACACCGGACCTCTCTTCGGCTCATCAAAGCTGATGCCGTGACCGCCGACACCTGGCAGCGGCTTTTGATCGAGACCAGCCTCTGAAAGACAAAGCCCAAACGAGGCACAGAGGGAGTTTGAAAGGCCAGAAGTCTGCAATCGACATCTGCAGACAAGACCAGAAGTCCAACAGGTGAGTTGGACTCACAAAAAAACGGATCAACCCACACACATCCGCAGGATCGAAGCCCACAACCCGACCTTCTTGGCTTCATCTGGGCCCACTTTTTGGACCTTCCCTGCCGCCGGTCGATTCAAGCGCCGTGGCTTGCATGGATCAATGATGACATCACGTTCGAGTTTTGTCCATCAAGTGCAACAGTTCAAGGCCCTACACGATTGAAAAATTGCAAGCCGATTGGTGGATCCACGGCCTGCGGTTTGACATCACATTTGGATCTACCATTGCACTCTAGCAACTGCCAACACCAAAAAGAAAAAAGTAATTTGCAGGTCTGAGAACCCATTCCGGCCCATTCCTCTAGCCCCAAATAGCTGGATTCTTAATGCCTAAGAAGCTCAGATATCTGGTCTGAAGATCTCGAACTTCTTGTCTGAACAGCTCACAGACTTCAAACCTCACCACCATCCTTTTCCACCGGCTCCCCGCCTGGTCGAGCTACGGCCTCTGGCACCTTCCGGCCCTTCTTGGGCTTGACCTCCATGAAAGGCGAACAACGCACATTCAACTGCAAAAGGAGTCTCAAGAACAACCCCCCCCACTGGATGCTGACCTCGGCAGACCGCACAGGGGGCCCCACTGCTATTTGATCTTGGACACCCCCCAATGCGCGGTCGAGTCGTGAGTTGGCTCATGAGGTGGACCGTCCTCCTGTTTCTCTCCACCGTCTTCAAACACCCGACCTCGCTGAGCCCTCGCTTTGGCAGGATTGTGGAGACTGGGGTGCAGCATGGTACAGCCAGATCCTCCGATGTATTGGCAATAGTCCTGTTTTCAGTAAGCACGGCCATATCCTCAGATGCATTGGCAACCACAAAAGCATACCTCCGGCCCCCAGAAACACCGTGCGCGCCTGAGGTGGCACATCTCGACCCTTGACGCTCATGCGGGCCTTGCACATTCGGCACGCCACCAAGGAGCCAAAAGCAACGGAACTGGACGTTTGGACATCTGTCAGTGACATCTGTCAGTGAACCAAAATGGGACTCAGGTTATGGGTGGAACTGTTTCAGACGTGTCCGTCTTTTCCACGAGTTTTCGTCTGGGTCTGTGCTGGCCATCGACGAACTGAGCTACCGGGCTAGATCAGGCTCCGGATCTGTTGGCTCGAAAGCACCGCAAAAGAGTGCCTGGGCATGGAACGCGAAGGGTTCAGGGCGTGAGATGCTCTGAGCCTTTCCTATTCCCAAACCGTTATAGGCACAGGACACATCAACCAGAATCCTGAGAGACATGTGATAACCGGGTCTCTTTTTGGCAGGTTGTCTCTTTTGGCCAATTGTTGTGACGCAGGAGTGGTGGCACAGGCAAGTGAAATCCATTATTAAATGCACTGGCGCGGTTGGGTATGTGATCAACGTTGTTGAGGGCTCTATGATCTATGTGAGAGGTGCATTGGACGAGAAAGCCGAACGTCGGAGAGCCCCTACGAACAGGACGACAATGGACCTGCAAATTCCTGTGGCCCCTGCGGTTTCTGGAAGAAAGAATGGACATGCAAGGTTTTCCAGCTAGCTTACCTTTTCTTTCCGTCGATTCGCTTGTTGCAAAGCGAATGTGCTGGTCTCAGACTCTCTAGAAACATCACGAAGGCAGGGTCTCCGTTTCGACAGATCTCCAACAAACAGCGACCAACCTGAGGCCCAAACGATGCAAATGTCCAAATCAGCTAAGAGGAGGAGCTCCTGCATTGCGACTCGGCCCTGAAATCTGGCTCACCGTGCCTTTAAACGAAGGACTCAACAGGAAGAACCAGAAGCTTCACCAAGCTTGAACGGACCACAAAACATTCTCAGTGCTTCCCTCGCGAAGGCCCTGGCGTGAACCCCTTGAGACTACGAGCAAGAAAAACCGGGCCCGAGTTCCCAGTGCTTCTGGGCGCCTGTCCGGACAGGCTTGAACAAGGGAATCGAGGCCGGGGCATGCGGGGCAGTTTTGACCCGTGGGCCACTTGGCCCACCCGAGCAAAAGGAAAAACCAACAGAACCACAGAACAGCACCTTTAGAACCAAATGGGTGTGCCTGTCAGTGTGACTTCGGAAGAAGAATATAAGCACGGGGGGTAAGCTTCACAGGCAAGCAGGCTTGTGTCTCAGAAGACAACAAACCTGGAAAAACCACTGATGAACAATAAACCCCCAGTGATGGCCCCACATGGGTGAGGCATACGCCATACGCGGCCCAGGTACTTTTCCCTCTCCTCGAAGGCAATGGCATCACCCCGACAGGGCTGATGCTTCCGCAAGACCCAGAGCCTGAGCTTCGCCCCCAAGGCCGGGAAGTCGAAACCTTCGGTGACGAGGCGAAACGTGACGACGTCCAAGGCCGCGGCAATCGGCAAATGTCATTCTCTATTTCCTGGAATGAATGGAACATGAGTAACATGTAACATGCGTGAGTGACAAGCGTGCACAGTTGTTTGACAGATTGCCCCTGGCTCATGCAAATGAACAGGCTACATGAAGGACTTCGGCAGGCTCAGTGTTGGGTAAGACGACTCTGTGCTTCACAAGAGTGGAACTATACTTTAGGCACGAGACAGGACAGAGTAATGCATCAATTCCAAGCAGCTTTCTCCTGGCGGCTGTTGTATCGGTCCAAACTGTTTTGGAACCCCACCATCAAAGGGTGGTGGTTGGTGGTTGGCGTTCTTACTCTCAGCCTTGGCGATGTAAGGCCGGGAGTGCTCTTTCGCCTCAAATCCCTCGGCGAACGTGGCGCACGCGGCGCAGGCGGCACGAGCCTCCACTGGGGGCGGTGAAGGCACCAGGACACTTAAGCGATGCAAGCCCTGCCTCGTTTCTGGCCAACACAGAAAAGCGATCCAAATGCATTCTACGACAGCGTGGCTCACAGAGCTCTGCGAGCTGAGACTTTTCTCTGAGTAACGGCCAGCTGGCTGACCAATGCAAAGATGCCAGGACATGCTGAACTTTTTAACTGATGTTCAAGGAGCCTCTGATTCAAAATGCCAACTCACATTCTTGGCCACCATGGCCATGGCCGAAACATGAAGCAGCTCAATTGAAACAGGGCTCCCCACAGCAGAGAGCAAAGCAAGCTCACCATCGCAGACACGCCCAAACGTCCATCGTCCCGTCCTCAAGTCGCAGCATCAAAGGCTCACAAGAGACATGGGGAGTTCTTTTTGCCTGAGGATGCGACCGCTCCACACCAGGCACAGTACAGCCGCCTGGGGCAGCACAGCTCTCAAGGGAACTGTGGGGCTTGATCACTGGCTCCGTGACTTGTAGGAAGGATTGGACATCTCACTTGACTAAGCTCAGAAATTGCACGAAGGTGCTCCCTCTAGCTCCAATAAAATGTTCAACCAGTGGATACTCCATACAGGCCCCATCACTGCTTGATTCAATCAGGAAGCAAAACATACTGGAACCACATCAGAACTTCCCACACCCCCACAGTTCACAAGCAAGGATACCCCAAAACAATGTCCATGCCTTGGCTTCCCGCCGCAAGCGGAGTGAAAGCACCGCTGCACAGGTCAAGACCTGGTAGTTTCTTGTTCAATTGATCCTCATCCTATGTGTTTTTTGAAGCCCCTCCTGCCTCATATAAGTTTACTTGGCAGCCTGCGGGATCAGTGGCCTAGGTAATCACTCAAATGTCAAGAACCATTTCCAATCGAACAATGTTACTCCATGTTCGCTTCTGGACCCTAGGGCAAGGAAACCCTTCCAGCAAGGGAACTCCTGATGGTCCAAGGGGCAAAAAGGTCGAAGGCCGCCGAGGCTGCGTCACCGTCCGCGGCGCTCAGGTGTTCACGCCACCAACTGGGAGAGCGGCGCTGAAAGATTTGGGATTGATACACTCCCCCAAACAAACTCATCCCCCTCCCCCGAATTGAAAGGTTATGTTAGATTGGGGAGGGTAGGTGATCTTGCCACCGCATTAGTTACACAAGACTTTGGATGAGTCGCATTGATGCCATCCACAAGCACGATCATGGTAGTCTGCCACACTTAGTCCTTCAGTCATGCAAATTTGCGCCTGCCATGCCCCCAACTTCAAAAATGGTGCCGTCTCACCCCTCTGACATACCATCTGCATATGTGTAAACCATTGATCCAAGGGGTTCAAAGCTTGTACAGTGGCTGGCTCCCATGAATACGTGGACTCTAGACCTTCCAATCTCTGGGGATTAGTGGGTGGCTGATTGCTCCACGTGGGCAAAAATGGTGTAAGAGTCAGACTGCTGGTCAACCAGCGCTTCAGCATGCCGGCTCGGCGGTGCTCGTTCCTCAGCACGGACCCATCAACCCGTTGGACGGCAACAGCGCGGAGCCCTTTCGCCCTCACTGGGCGCCCAAACGTGCACCAACGCCGAAAGCACCGCAGCTTCCGCGTCCCACTGACGCCCGGTGCTGCCTCAGTGCATCATCCGGCCGATCGGGTTGACAGCATGTTCACCACTTGCAAGGGCATGCCCAACAATTCTTAAAAAATAAAAAAAATGTGCATTGTGAATGGTGAGTGCCTTTGAGGGCTGCACCACCTGCGAAGAACAGGCTGTTGAGAGCCTCGCGTCAATATTGGCCGATTGTGAAACCACTGAAACCAACATGGGCAGCACTGTCAGTATTTGGAAGGAACAGACCAGTGTTTGTGTATCCTCCACCTTGTTTTCGCTAGACTCCTGCGTTCGTGTGCCACAACGCCATAACAAATTGAATACTCAGCATATAGACCTCCAAATAGAAGCAAATCCCCACTACAAATGTATTGGCAACCTTGCCATTATCTGTTTGGCGGATATATACTCACCATATGCGTTGCTACAAGTTTCCGTGGGGGAATATTTATGCATTTTATGTCAACTGTCGACCTCGCCTGAACTCCAGCAACCCGCCGGTCCTGCCAACAAAAGGGGCCATGTGGCGGGCCCGGAACCACAAAAAACTCAACGCGACGAATTGAGCAAACCAACACCAAGGCTCCCACCAACTGCCAATCATCCGGACCTGCTGCGCGCATCACAATATTCACAATAACCTGCTTCAAGTCAAAATCGGGAAGGGCAAGGAACAAAAAACTAAGCACCGGTCATTCTACGATGGAACCTGGCAACTGCTCATGTCTTTGTTTCACCATGTGCAATTGCCAACTGTCTTGGTGAAAGCGAGCCAGCTGTGCTGCCAATGCCCATCACAGCTTGCAAAATGAATTCTGCCAAAAAAATCCTACGTGGGGGAATCACATCAAACACGTTCCTCAAGTGCCCAACGTGTGATGCAAGTTGTTGAACTGGGTAGGATGTCTACAAACAGTTTTGGTGTCCCTTCCGGTGGCCCAACAACAGCCGCGGCAAAGAAGCACTCGTGAATTTACATGTCAAACTGTCAATCAGCCAGCCAGCCAGCCAGCCCGTCCGTCAATCCCTCAATGCCACCGGCAGCATTTTAAATCCAAAATAAAAGAGTGAGACTAAACTGACTTTGCTCAAGGCGGGCCAGGGCCCATGCTATAATTAAAATATATTATATAGATATATATTAGATCATATTTTGCTGTACAACACCGTACGTTATTTTTTGTATAGATTGTCAAACTGTAAAAAGCGGGCAAACGCGATCACCAGCAAGGGTGGTCCTGGATTCTACTGTTCCAGGTCTCAACGTTCCAAGCGTTCCCGAAACCCAGTTGAGGCTGGACGGTTCCAAGGCTCAAGGCGACATCAACATCGCTGGTGTTTCCACCGTGCCAATAGCAAAACTGACAAAACGCCTGACATTGGCACATGAACGGCCGCACTTTGACACATTTCATGCGATGCCACATGCCAACGTCACAGTTCACCCGGTGCCGGTTGCGACGCACCAAACACAGAAACACACACCTGCAGGAATATCGGCATTCAAACAAACCAATTCGCTTTCCAAACCTCCTGGCCCAAGAAACAGCTAATCACAAGCAAACGCCCAATGAAGAGCATTTGGCCAACACAGGCCTTGGAGAACGGCCTGTTAACGAATGACCATACGAAACACCGGTGTTTTGCCCCTTCCCCGGAAAATTTGCAGAAGGGCACTTGCACACCGGCACCGGGGAAATGCGCCCAAATTCAAAGGGCGGCCAGGCAACCGACTGCCTGCAGGCGGAGGAAAGTACTGCACCTGCCACGAAACACGAAAAACAAAAAAAATCCAAAAAAGAACGAAAAAAATCCAGAAATATATTTGCACCCATTTTTTTTTGTAGTTTTTGTCGCTTATGACGAGGTGCGTCAAGCTTGGTAATGGTGGTTTCCCATGGCCTGGTTGGCCGCTAGCGTGGGAAGACTTGGAGTAAACAATCAATTGTTGTTGTTGTTGTCCCAATGACCACAACAAGATGTGTGTGCTCCAATGGTCGACCTTTTACAATGAAGGAAACCGCTTTTTAACCTATACACAATTAGCAACCAATCCGGGTTCAAATCAATTAGTGAGTGTTGTAGAGCAGGCGGCATCAGCTAATTTTGGAGGATTCAAAAACAAAAAGACTGTCTATTACAAACCTTCTTGTCCGTTTTTCAATGTTTCAAACTTTATTCCATTGTCTTATTGTCCTATTACAATTGAACTCACATTGGTCAGCGATGCTACTGAACCATTAGTTACTCAATCTGCTGAATTTACCACTACTGATACATCATTCTTATGGAACATTGAAGCACCTATCATTACAGCGGATGTTCATAGACTTGATGACGGACTTTTCGCAGAATATGCGGAAATTTTGGAAAACAATCCTTACCTATTACCTTCAACAGTGTTTCAGTTCAAACTCAAACAACAAGTCAAACAACAGACATTTTTACAACAATCGTAAGAAATGTAAGCAAAGCGGACAACATCTTCATATCATTCTATTCACCTCACGGTTATAAAGGTGGCTTCGGGGAATTGTTAAAACCACACAATCTATTGTATCATCCTCTATCCTTTGAAAATAGCGTAGGAACACCTCAACAGAACTATTTTGAAGATTTAGATTTACAATTTCAATTAAGCATAGGTAATACAGTCATCCCAGAAATGCCAACATTAGGAATTACCGACAACTACAAACATCTACAAGAAACACGAAACAACCACGTCTCAATCAAACCACAAATGTATAGAACTAATTCCTTCTTAGCAGGGTTCAATTTAAAGAAATTAAATTCAGCAAATTATACCGGTTTAAATCTTAAAAATAATTCAAATATGGTCGTCCGTGTTAAACCAATGTATGGAACAAGACTATTTACAGCAGACAACGGTGTTGATACGGGAGTGATGCCTCAAAAGATGTATATCGTAATTGAACACGAATGTATTTTAGAAATTAAGGCTCAATCTGTCATTTTCTACGATTAAAATTGAATATAATAATTTTTAATATCTATTTATATTATATAAATGGCAAGTCTATATAATATCAATAGAAGTGTAGAAGCATATGAGTTCAGGATGATAGACCCAGCGGATGGGCAATTGAAATTATTGACTGACATACCAAGTTTAGGAGGAGGTGGAGGAGGTGGAAGCGGTTATACCGATGGTGAAATTGATACATTGCTTAATGGTAAAATAGATAGAGTGAGTGGAGTGGAACAATCAGTATCAAATGATTTCAATGTATTAGGACAGTTGAAAACTCATACAGTTAATACTAGTGGGGATGTTAATATGGCATTCTTCAGAAACGGCACACAATTTTTCACCTTGGAAATGGACGGAACGATTAAGTTAATGAATTTTGCTAATGATGGTGGTGTTATTGTTAATAGAATGTTTGGAAATTATTTTTCTAACAGGAGCTATTCATCAGATACAGTTTTTGAAGGTTCAAATGTTGCTGGAAACGCAAGAGAAGAATATATGAGATATAATTATGCTACTGGTGTTCTAAGCATAGCAAAACCATTATCACTAACTTCTGCTCTGAAACAGGATGTGATAGATACGACTGGTGATGTTGATTTAACATTCAAGAGAAACGATGTTGAATACTGTAAGTTGAGAAATAGCGCGGGAGTTAGATTAATGGATTTTCCAACAAGTGGCGGTGTCAGTGCTGATGTGATGTATGGAAATCTGTTTGCTAACAGGACTAATGGACTGGTTACAATCTTTGAAGGTTCTAATGTAGCAGGTGATGGAAGAGAAGAATATATGAGATACAATTATGACACTGGTATTTTGAGCATAGCTAAACCCTTATCATTATCTTCTGCTTTGAAACAGGATGTGATAGATACAACAGGGAATGTTGATTTAACAGTAAAACGAAATGATGTAGAATATTTTTCATTGGAGCTGGATGGAACAATTAAATTAATGAATTTCGCTAATGACGGTGGTGTTAGTGTTAATAGAGTGTTTGGAAATTTCTTTTCTAACAGGAGTTATTCATTGGATACAATTTTTGAAGGTTCTAATACAGCAGGAGATGCCAGAGTAGAATATATGAGATATGATTATGCTAATGAACTACTAAAAATACCAACAAAAATGTTAATAAATGGTGGTGAAGCAACAACTGAAATACACGAAAATATTGAAAGTGGTAATAATGTATTTAGAATATGGAATAGGGCTACTACCAACAACCCATTAATTCATTTAAGGTGTGGTGGTGATGATAATGACTTAGTTGTGCGGTCTGATTTGATTAGTATGAACAAAGCGGTTTCATGTGCTAATACTGTTACAATTGCTTATAATAATAAACTAAAATGGGGACTTAATAGCATTGTTGAAACAACATCAGAAACAGTTCCAGTTACAAGATTTGAAGCGCCTAATACAGGTAGTTCTTATGAGTTTGTTATAGGCAATGTATTGAGTGCCGGTCAGAGACTTTTTGTTATGACTAATAGTGATGTAACTTGTAAAAGAGAATTTAAGTGTAATAATTTTGATACTGAAAACAACAGTGATATGGTATTACAGAGGAATAATGATGAGTTTATGAGGTTCAATGTTGTTGATAGGATATCAAGGGTTCAAATTCCTATAAAATTAGCAATGTCAGGAGGTTTGAATGAAAGTATCATATATGAAGCAGATGAAGTAACACAGAATGCTTTAAGAATATGGAACAAAGACGAAAGTTTAACAAATTCAAATGTTTCTATTGGTGTTGGTGCTCAGCCTAATGTTATGTTTTTTAGAAGTAATTTTGCTCAATGTAATGAAGAGTTGAAAGTTGATACAATCAATACTACAGGTGATAATGACTTAGTATTTCAAAGAAACGGAGTTGAATATTTTAAATTTGATGGTAGCAGTAGCATAGTTAATATTCCATCAGGTGTAGCATTATCTACAACCGATGTTTATACAAATGAATACAGACCAAGAAGTGATAATACTGATACAATATGGTATGGACTACAAAGTGGAGGAACAGGAACAGCGGAGATATTCAGATATGATTATTCAGCAGAAGCCTTAGATTTTAACACTGTTATTGATAATACATCTCGTTCAATTATAGGTAATATAATAGACACTACAGTTTCTGAGAAAAAGACTGAAAAAGAACATTAAAGAGTATTATGAAAATTGTAGCGATTGTATCAAAGCAGTTAAAGTTAAGACCTTTGAATATAATGACAAAAAGTATGACAACAACGATAAGATAGGGTTTATAGCACAAAATTTAGAACAATATTTGCCAGAAGAATTTAAACATATTGTTAAAGATACTAAAATAAAAGATGAAAACAAAACATTCAAGACAATCAATTATATGAAGCTTTCAGTGGTTTTATGGAAGGGATTACAAGAAACATTGGATAGAGTTGATAAGTTAGAAGCAAAGATACAAGAACTGGAAAAACCTAAAGCAAAAGCAAAAGCAAAAAGTAAAACTGAAAATTAAAATATAAACAATGATATATGGGCAGTAGTCAATCAAAAAGTGATGAAACAAACTATATTGAACAAATAAAAGCATTAGATGAAAATGAGTTAGACCTAAACAAAGTGGATACTTTACAAATGAAAGCACTGAAGGAAATGATAGAAAAGATACAAAAGTTAGAAGACAAGAAGTCGGACAAATTTATTTATAAACTACCTCCAATTCAAATTTGCAGTTATAGTTTAATTTAAGTTCATAATATTTTATTAAAAAATATTATGAACATAAACTTTGTATATATTGTTGGTGCTTTTGTGTTTGTTCGTGTCTTTTTCTTTTCCAAAAAAGGAA